GTTGCAAGTTAAGAAAAGACCATTGCATTATAGGATTTAAATAATCATCTACAACTGCTTATAGTTCCGTTTTATTTCGTTATCAAATTATACAAATATGCTTTTAAAACGATATAAAAGCTTTTAAAAGTTAAACACATCAGGCTGAAATTTAATTCGAGTAATCTTTTACGATTGGTAGCGCTCGCGCGCCACAGGTCCTGAGTTCGATCCTCGGGCCGGGCAAGGTTGACTCAGCCTTTCATCCCTTCAGTGGGTCGATAAATGAGTACCAAGCATGCTTGGAAACTAAAGGGGGTTACGCGTTCGGCTGACCACCTGACCGGAACATCTGCTCCTGCACCCAAGGTAAAGAAAACTGAGCTGGACTATTGCGGCACTGAGTTTAGTTTTTTATCTCTTACGATAAATATCATAGAATTATTTTTTAAAAAAAGTTATAGTTTCGTAGCCTTACTAGAATCCTAGACTTGGCGACATATTTCGATAAATAAGAATATTCGTTCTTGAAAAAGAGACAACATTGACAAATATGACGCTGCAAGATCATTGGATTTGATGCGATCACTGAAAATGGCACGTCTTATGCTGACATGTTCTTAACAAATTAAAAGCGAGATGAAGAATTTTTACTTTTGTTTCGCTGTAGAAAAAATTGTCTGCCACAAATATTTATTATTCTTTCACCAGTTTCTTTAAATGCGAACAGAAAAAAGTATATTAGTTAAGATTTTTATTCTTGTTATTATTATTAATAAGAAAGAAAGCAAGCAAAAAGGAGGCCGTGTAACTTCAAGAGTTGGCGATATTGATACGTTGGGAGCTTGGTATCTATTAGGCGTGGACTTAGATGCAAACAGGTTGTCTCCATAGAATTTATGTTTTTTTTTCTTTTTTTCTTCCAATTTGCAAGAGCTTAGGAAAAGAACTCGTTACAAAATTATTACAATACTGTGCAGCGAGGCAGCATCACGAAAGAAATAGATGGGTATTAAACTATTTCAATTTAACAATTGCTGCTACAATGAGTACTTAAAAATGTCAATTATTCTACAAAAAAGGTAGCTCAAAAAGATGTTATATTATAAGATTAATTTTTTCGCTAGGTCGAAATCCCTTTTTTAGTAAGTTCAAAATTAAGCTCATAACTGCATCAGATAAAAATTAAGCTTCAAGTAATGATAGAAATAATATGCATCCGGATAATAAGCATGAATAACTTGAATACATACCACCACCAAGACAGAAATTAAAGAGTGGCACTGATAGATACAATGAATTAGGGACTAATTATCAAACAAATAAAAAAAAAGATGACGTGAAATATTATGATGGAAACTTGTTTTATTTGAGGCTTAGCTATAGGATGAAATGATGTACACTTCAGTCTGATTTTTCATGTAAACCAACTTAGAAAAAAATTAAAACTCAACATGGAAAATTATTCTGGCCCATCTTCCTGTTCTAAAATTGCAGCCATCACAATACTGTCACCACGTACAAATAACTGTTTCACATGTCTCTTGTGAGGAGCAGATCCCTTTTTCTTTTTTATTCGCTTCTTTTTCTTTTCCTTAGCACCTTCAGCAACTTTCTCAACTGTTGTAGGAGGTTGATTTTCTTGTGTTTCAACAGATGCCGGATTCTTTTTTTCTTTAGGAGTTTTCTGCGGCAATTCTGAAAAGTTTTCTGCAGACCTTAAATCCTCAAAACAGGGAGTTTTGTGTTTCTTACGTTTGAGATACACTTCATCGACATCACACATAACCAAATTCCAGTGTTTATCGAAAGCCACCACGTAGCCAGTGCATATACCTCGTACTTCTTTGAAGTTCCTAGTCCACACCTTTTTTAAAGAAAAGAAAAACGAATGTAAAAAATATGGAAGAATAGTACAAAAAAATGTGAACCCTACAAAATGTTTATAAACAGAAGATTTAAGACATACACATTTCCATTCATTTAAGAATTAGTTCTACAGGGAAGAAACCGTCTTTCTAAACATCCTTCTGTGAAGGTCTTAGCTTCTCTTTTTTCTACTTCCTCTTATTCTATTTTCTGCTTTCTCAAATATATACTGTACATATATGGCATATAATTATATTTATTTAGTTATGGTGAATAATTTATATATCTTGTTATTCAATTATAACTTATTGACTGACGTACAGTAATCGATTACAAATAATCATAATTTTTCATACATCACAGTTGGGCAAAAATCTAATCGATTACAGTAATTAATTACCTGTAATCATGACTACAAGATAACAATTGTGATTCCAATAATCTATTACTTGTAATCGTGATAACAACTATTTATAATTTTTAATACATCTGTAACCAGGATTACATTGATTACAGTAAATTGATTACAATTCCAAATTACAACAAAAACGATTACAGGTAATTATGGTTACAAGCAATTAAAATATATGATCGCATGTAATCGTGATTGCTTCTTGTAATCAAACAATACGATTACAAGTAACTACGATTGTATACTATATGCAAATATATTATGTAAGAATGTATGGGGATACACATTTTTATGAACATTACCTAAAATTCGATCTTTTAGGAACTAGACCAATTTGGCCCAAATTTTAATATCTAACAATTCAAAAGTTTTATTTACCATTTTTAAACCAATAAATATTTAAAGAAAGTTATATTTTGCATGGAATTATTTTTGGATAAACAAATTTTATAAAAGCGGCAAATTTTTTTCAATTCTTTTAAAAAGTTCGAGATTTAGCGAAATACGCAGAAAGTAAAATTAACATTATGGGGTCCAAACTTTGGAGGGCTCTGGTGACTAAACTATAGTGACTACCTACTATATTTTGAGGTCCAAAATCCGAATATATCGAAAATATTTTATTTTTAATCAGAGGCACACACATATTGTACAGTGTGGAAGTAAATAACAATAAAATTAAAAAAAACGGACCACCCTCAATAACTTTTGATTCTATGATTGGATCTTCACGTTCTAGAACTCAATCTTAATGGCTCCAGGGGGTGATTTCATATATGCAGACGATAT